CATTTAAAGTTGTTAAAATTCCATGTCATTACAGGATGCAGTAGTGATGCGGAGGTCAACAGAAGGAACCAGCGAGTGCTGTGGGTGATACGGGAGATTGTAGGATGCACTGACCAAATAGCATCAGCGTCACTCTCAGCATCATTGTAGGCAAGTTCAGGGCACCTTGGTGATGAAAAATCACTAACATTGTATCTATTGTTCAAGTATCACAAAGTTTACAAAAAACTCACGAAGAGAATATCCCCTTCAAAATAAGCTCTGGACCCCAGATGGTCTTCTGAAATCAGCCCTAGAAAGAATGTAGAATGTTTTTGTATCATTAGATTTATTTTGGATAGGATTGTAAAATTTCACTTTAGCTGCTATTACTCATTTAAATTTGAGTCTTCAAGGCAGAAGATAAGAAAGCCAAATAATTCTTACTTTGGTTAATTTGAAGAATGTCATCCGCAGGTGCTGTAGTAGCAGGGAGGTCTGTAGTAAGAACTGTCCCAGTCACCCCTGGAGGTCAAAAGAACAACTTATATTTGATACATTTATTATACATTCACACGTAAATGTATTTTTGTATATTTGCAACAATAAGGCTCCATGCAGGGGCGGACTGACCATTTGGGAATTCGGGCACAGCCCGAGGGCCCGGGGTCAGTAGGGGGCCCCATGAGATGCCCCTGGTAACTTTCATAGGCTTTTTTGGGTGTGGTTTGAGTGTGGGCGAGGAAACAGGGGCCCCATGATCCCCTATTGCCCAGGGGCCCCATGAGTTGTCAGTCCGCCCCTGGCTCCATGCACACTGGACGTTTTTAATAACACTGGTAGCGTTAGCTGTGTAAAGTCACGTTAAAAACGTGAGTTTTTCAGTGTTTTTTTTAACATTTTTCGCATTAGTGTTTTGCCACGTTTTTTACCGAAAACAATATTTTGTTTTTGCTCAAAAAAAAAAAAAGTGTCCAAAAATGCTGGTTTGCCATGTTTGGGCACATTTTTACCCCTCCTGCACACTGGGCATTTTGATAACACTGGTAACATTAGCTGTGTAAAGTCACATTAAAAACGTGAGTTTTTTAGCTTTTTTTTAGCATTAGCGTTTAGCGGCATTTGCTAGCTTCTCTGTCAAAAAAAAAGTCTAAAAACGCCAATTTGCAGCGGTTTACCACGTTTTTTCAACATTTTTACATCTAAAAAATCCTCTAGAAATCCACTAGTTCTGTTTTTTATCTTCCAGCCAAAAAAACGTTGACAACAGTCTTTGTGTGCATGGACACATAGGCTAACATGCTGGGGGGTTTACTAGCCGTAGAAAAAAACGCCAAAAGCCAAAACAGCAGCTGTAAAAATGTCGAGTGTGCATGAGGACAAAAAAACAAAAAAAAAAAATTTTTTTTGGTAAAAAAAAAAAAGTCCAAAAAACGCAGATTTGCAGCGGTTTACCGCGTTTTTCAGTTTTAGAGAGCGTTTTTACAGCTAACAAAACTCCTCTGGAAACCCACTATTCCTCTTTTTTTTTTTCCAAAAAAAAAAACGTTGGATTACAGTTTATGTGTGCATGGGCACATAGGATAACATCCTGGGGGGTTTACTAGCTGTAGAAAAAACGTCAAAAACAGCCTCTGTAAAAACGTCCAGTGTGCATGAGGACTTAGATTTCTCCTTTTCATAGGTGTACACATTCATATTCTCTCTTTGCAAAGCTGGTCAGTAACAATGTGCACCTAATAAAAAATGCATTGGAATTGCATTACATATAAACACATAACTGTTTTTCATTCAATTCTGTGGACCTCAAAATCAGATTGCGCTACTCCAAACATGCACATGACCCTTTTTAAAAACGCACTGCAGCTGGACTGCATATATGTGAACAACCTCCATAGGAAAACATCTTATTATGTCATACGAATCACTGCCCTTCAAAACACCTCCGAAAAAGCATCTGTGTGAACCAGGGCTAAGGGATGACTTAATGCAGCAATATATACACCTGAAAAACTTAGATATGTGAAATAAAGAGAAACACGTCATATGCTATGCAGGATTTCTGTGATCATGCTTCTGTTTGACCGAAAATCTTTCCTTGGTCATGGGTTTTGGAAAACATAACCAAACCCAACTTACTGTGCAGAGTCATCTGGAACAATACCTCCACAATTCCAAGTTCCTGATTCAGATTTTTTTTTTTATACATTTGAAAGTCTCCATTCCGTCACTGAAGAATAAACCCAATGGTTGGGCATAGTATGAACTTGTTTGCTCTAAAATGGATGTACCTTCAATAGAATATTTATAACAGGAATGTACAATGGCATTTCAACCAAAAATACAATTTTTACCTCCAGTTTCAAGCAGACATATTGCTAATAACAGGCTGATCATTTTGTGTTGAATGGTTGGTCCAAGGCTGGTTCCATGTCTCTAGATAACTTGTTCATTAGCCAGCTGGGTGTGGATACCACATGAAGCATGGTCACATGACAGCATTCCACGTGATCCTACTACAATCTTCAACCAAGGGTGACCAGACCAAACATTCCTGCCTGGATTCCACACTGTAGAGACCAGTTGGACCTTTTCATGATGGGAATTCTAAAAAAAAAATGTCACTTTACTGAGGAAGTATGGGGGCTAATTTCTCCTGAAAATACTAATATTTTCTTTGAAGTGGAACTAAACTAAGTTTTGCAAAAGTGCTGACAGGTATACTTTTTATTACAGAGGAGACTCTGGGGGGGTTATTTAATAAAGGCTCACGTCTGCAGAGAAACCAATCAGCTTCTACCTCGACTTGTTCAATTACACTTTGGCAATAAAGCCTGGAAGCTGATTGGTTTCTCTGCAGAAATCCTAGATTGTAAGCTCCAGGGAGCAGGGCCCTCCTATCCCTCTTGTATTGAACTGTATTGTCTCCTGTTATATTGTAAAGGGCTGAGCAAACTGTTGGCGCTATATAAATCCTGTTTAATAATAATAATAATTGCACCTGATTTTGCACTCTCCAGTTTTAGTAAATAAACCCCTGGATGTTATGAATGTTAGCATTTTTTCTCTTAATTGTACACTGAACTGTGCAGACGCATGTGCAAGATCGGTAATGATTTATATACCAGGTTGAAGAAATTATTGTGCATGAGTTGCGTCATTCCAGCCCAGCCAATCAAGTCAGCTCAAGACTCCCAACTAAACCCTCCTATCCTTTACAGCCAAGGAATCTGCCATCTTAGCCTCTGATAGTTTTCAGCTGCCATAGTGCTGCACATGTGACCAGTAATGACCAGGGCTTTTTTTTTCTAAAAAAAAAAAAAAATAAAGGGTGCAGGAACTTCCCCTCTCTGAGTCTTTCTTGTCTACACCCTCCTATCCACCTCCAAGCACCGTTCCTTTGTTCTACCTCCTACCCACGTCCCAGTACTGCTCCTTTTAGAGAATACAGAGCCATGTATTTTGTGGTGCTTAGCAATTTGTATGGAATTTGGAAATTGATTCAGAAAAGCAGTAAAATATATCCCCTGCAGCCTGAAGCAATAGACCCAAGCAACAATAGATTCCACCAGAAAAAATTGACCCCTGCAGCAAAATACCACTCCAGCAACATCAGATCTCCCAACAGCCAACATCACCCATCTGGAAGAAAAATATATTTTAAGAAAATTCTTCCCAAATATATTGCCATATATTTGAAATACTACAATTTTGGCCATATTCAATATATTTCAAAATATATTTCAATAAATATATACTGCATGTTGAAATGCGTTTTTATTGCAAAATATATGAAAAATATATAAATAATATAAATTTCAAATATACTGTATGTCTTTCCAAATACAAATCTACATTTTTGGAATGGATTTACAAATATATCTAAAAATGTATGTTAAAAAGCCTTTATTATATGTTAAAAAAAATCTGAAGAATATATTTAAAAAAAAAATTTTTTTTTTTAAACAAAATTTTAACATATAAAAAAGTTATTTTAACATATATTTTACATATGATGCATGTAAATGCATTTCAAAAATGTAGATTTGTATTTTCAAAGACATACAGTATATTTGAAATGTATTTTTAAAAATATGTTTCATATATTTTGTAATAAAAACGCATTTCAACATGCATGTATGTATGTATTGTATATATATATATAATGTATGTGTGTGTGTATATATATATATATATATGTATGTATGTGTGTGTATATGTATATATATATATATATATATATATATATATATTTGAAATATATTGAATATGGCGAAAATTGTAGCATTTCAAATATATATAGAAGAATATTTTTTCAATATATTTCAAATATATTTTCTTCCATGTGGGCAGTATACCCCTTCTTCAACAGTACATACCTTTCAGCAACACGAGACTGCCACTCAAAAATAGAATCCACTCCAGTGACAATAGATCAATCAGCAGCCAGCATCAATAGGCCTTACAGCACACCCCAGCACCCTTGCCATTATATACATTCAGTGTTGGAGATGCTGGTATTGCGTTTCCCCACATTCGTGCTGAAAAAAATCCCTGTGACACCAGCCATTTGATGGCTTGATATTGAGGCCACAAACACTATTTTCATATATTTCCATAAACACAGTTATTATTCATAGCAGACATTGAATGTAAAATGTGAATTGTTTAACTTCTTGCCGACCGCGCATAGCCGAATGACGGCTTCACCGCGGCCGGCCAGTTCTGAGTGGACGTCATATGACGTCCTCCCAGAACGCGCGGGCGCGGGCGCGCACCCGGTGATCTCCGTGATCGCTGTGTCCTACGGACACAGCTGATCACGTGATGTGGTGAAAGGCCGATCCCTCCGGCCTTTTACCACGTGATCAGCGGTGTCCAATGACACGCTGATCACAGGGAAATGCAAGTGCCGGTTCTCGGCTGCACTTTCCTCACGCTGTCAGATCGTGAGGAAAGTACTAGAGAACCGGCAGTTGTCAGAGCGGGGGATCGGCACCGATCATCAGGGCACTGATGATCAGTGCCCTGATGATCGGTGCCCAGCAGTGACAACCCGCAAGTTCCGCCCAGCAGTGCCCACTAGTCCCCCCCGCCCACCCTAGCCCCGTCCCCCCACCTTGCCCAGCAGTGCCCCCACCTGTGCCCAGCTAAGTGCCCCCACCTGTGCCCAGCAGTGCCCCCACCTGTGCCACTCTGCAGTGCCACCTACCTGTGCCCAGAAGTGCCACCTACATGTGCCCAGCAGTGCCACCCACCTGTGCCCACCCACCAGTGCCACCCACCTGTGCCCACCCACCAGTGCGCAGCCTGCCCACCAGTGCCACCCACCAGTGCAGCCCAGCAGTGCTGCCAGTCAGTGCCACCAGTCAGTGCCCAGGGGTTGTGCCAGTCAGTGCCGCCAGTCAGTGCCCAGAAGTGATGCCAGTCAGTGCCGTCTATCAGTACCCATCATCAGTGTCACCTATCAGTGCCGCCTATCAGTGCTGCATATTAGTGCCGCCTATCCGTGACCCCTAATTAGTGCTGTCTATCAGTGCCGCCTATCCGTGCCACCTCATTAGTACTGCCTATCAGTGCCCTTTAGTGCTGCCTATCAGTGCCCATCAGTGCCGCCTATCAGTGCCCATCAGTGCCGCCTCATCAACGCAAATCAGTGAAGGAGAAAAAATACCTGTTTGAAAAATTTTATAAAAGAAACAAATAAACTTTTTTTTTTTCAAAATTTTTTGCACTTTTTTTAATTTATAGCGCAAAAAGTGGACGAAAAAAGCGCCCAGTGGCGATTAAATACCACCAAAAGAAAGCTCTATTGTGAGAAAAAAAAATGATCAAAATTTCATATGGGTACAATGTTGCATGACCGCGCAATTGTCAATCAAAGTGCAGCAGCGCTGAAAGCTGAAAATTGGCCTGGTAAGGAAGGGGGTATAAGTGCCTGGTAGGCAAGTGGTTAAGGAAACAAATTCATGAATTTAGCTCTGCTTTAAAGAAGACTTGGAGAAAATGGTCACGTTAGAGAAGGAGGATAGAGTGGACATGACATCAGTGGAGGGGTGTCATTTGCATACTAAAGATTTAACTTTTTTTTAAATTAAAATACCCTCAACATGTCATACTTACCAGCCCCATGCAATGGTTTTGCACAGAGTGGCCCCAATCCTTTTCTTCCAAGGTCCCCCACTGGTGCTCCTGGCTCCTCCCCCCACCAAGTGCCCACCATAGGTAACAGCTTCCTATGGGGCCACTTGTGAATGCTCAATCCCAAGCCGGACTGTCTGCATCTATTCAGACACACAGCCTGGCCCAGCCCTGCCACCCCGTTCACAGGTTTTGACAGCAATGTGAGCCATTGACTCCCACTGCTATCAGCAAAGCTGAGAGCAGAGAGAGAGGAGAAGAACTGCTGCAGTTATGTACAGCACTGAATTGAGATCGGGCTCAGGACAGTATTTGGGGGGGCCGGAGGGGAGCTACTATTAAAAGGATTTTTACCTTAAGGCAGAGAAAGTATAAAGGTAAAAAAATGTCATACCTTTACAACCCCTTAAGCCTGCTATAATATACTAATGAATAACGATAAGAAACAGAGGGCGCTCCAGCCTAGTGCATTACCTTAAAAGTATTTAATAAAAGATAAAAGAAGGTATTATAATCACAAAATGACAATACAGTCAAAGGAACATCATAAAGGAACAGCTCTGTCCAATCCGCACTAAGGAAGCTCTGAGGAAGAGGCAAGTCCTCGAAACGTGTTAACCAGTTGGAAGTCCATAGTTCTCAATGCAGACAGACAAGTAGCGAGGATTGGACAGAGATGTTCCTTTATGATGTGCCTTTGACTGTATTGTCATCTTGTGAGTACCAGGGGCGGACTGACAACTCATGGGGCCCCCGGGCAATAGGGGATCATGGGGCCCCTGTGTCCTTGCCCAACCTCAAAAAAGCCTATGAAAAAGGCACCAGGAGCATCTCAAAGGGGCCCCCTACTGACCCCGGGCCCTCGGGCAGTGCCTGAGTTTCCAAATGGTCAGTCCGCCCCTGGTGAGTACAATACCTTCTTTTATCTTTTATTAAATACATTTAATGGTAATGCACTAGGCCAGTGCACCCCCTATTTGTTTTCTATATTCCATACATTTGGACTCCCCGGTCTTTGAGGGCAGCAAGGCGTGCATATTCCAGGACATTCGTGATGTGGTCCTAATTTGTACTGAGTCCAGGAGGACGAGCATCTGGGTTTGCTCTTCCTTTACTGTTGTATAATATAGTAATATTCTGAGCGTACTTGCACCAAATTGCTGCTTTGGTTTAGTTCTGCTTTAAAGGACACCTGTCACAGACCTGGGCATTTCAGACTGAGGATATAATAAAAATATTGAGGATACCTTTGGTGAACATACAGTATGTCCAAAGATATTAACGAGCTGATTTATTTATGCAAATTAAATGTTTACTATAGAAACTTTACAGTTACAGGAAAAGATGAGAATTGCCGATAACTTAAGCCTCCCACAACTCTAATCTACTTATTACAACTTGTGGTTTTAATAAGAGTATGGCTCTGTTCACACCAATGCAGTTTTTAGTGCTTTTTGCAAAAATGCACTACAGTCCATTTAACATGGTTTCCTATGGAACATGTTCACATCTATGCTTTTTTGAGCTGCTGCGTTTTTGGAAAGGGTCAGGGACTTTTTTAAAAGCAAAAAGCAGCGTTTTTTGCTACAATACAGTTCAATGGAGAATCTGCTGAAATGCATGGTAGTGCGTTTTTGCCCCGTTTGGCATTTTCAATCTGCCCAGCAAAAAAAAAAATCCACTTTAAAAAAAAAAAGGTGAACAAATGCAAAACACTGCAAAAACGTGTGTAGAAAAATGCAAAACGAACTGCGAAAAGCACTGCAAAACGGACAAAAAGCAAACTGTATAGGTTTGAACGGAGCCTAACCATTCTTGTGTGCTTTATGTTTGGTTTGAATTGACAGTGTTTGTGACAGGTGCACAGAAAAGCACTCTTTGTTTCCTTTCCTTTGATTGTGTATTAGCTCAGATTGTAAGGATCAAATCAGATCATGCTGCTGCTGTGAACTCCCCATCTACAAGTTTGCTTAGAGAGCTTTGCCTGCCACTACAGTCACTCCTGCAATGAAAGTAATATGGAGTAACATGGAAATAGAAATGCTAGTTACCTGGCAGTCTGTTTCTGCTGATCCAGTTACTGCAGTACTTGCTGAGCCATTGACTTGATTGAACAAGCATGCAGCCAGTGAATTCAGAACTGCTTATTTCCATTTTTGTTCCAGGATCCTTCAGAGTAATTTTCCTTGTGTTCTTCATTTGGTGTTCCTGCTGTTTTCAGTTAAAAACACCAGTTCTCTTCTTGCCTCTCCTCCATATCACAGGATAGGAGCATTTGCAGGGAAAACACATCACACTAGGTTATTGATATATATTAATCAAGGAATTTTAGCACAGTCCATTTGAGGATCTTACTAGATTTTGTTGTCTAGATACTATACAGGCCATTGCAATAACTTACTCAAGCACACTACCTTGTAGGAGGGTCTGATGTCAATAATCACATGGTCAATGGTAAGAAATAACCTTGCATCATGATATCCCTTTGGGTGTGTGTTACTTCTCCTGTTTCACATGACTGTCATATGCCTTTAAGTGTTCTTTGTATTTTGTCTCTGCTCCTCCCCTTCCTTTGGTATAGTTCATGCTGTGTATACTGTAGCTCCACCTCTTTGTTCATGTTCCTAGTAATGCACCTCAGTTTCAAGCCTCATGTCTCATGGAGTAGATCACATTATGATCTTTTGACCTATCCAATGTTCATTGTTGTGAGATTCTCTCAGTTTATGGAATAAACTTCACAAGATCTACAAGGTGTTGTCTGGATCTAGTCACTGCCTGTTTTATTCAAATAAGATTGGAGTTATCGCTATCTCATCACAACTGTAAGTTACAGAGATCACACTTTCAATGCTTAGATTGGAGAGACAGAACAGTACTCTTGGATAGTGTCTCCATAAATACGCTCATGTAACAAAATCAAGAACAGTGTGAGGAATGGCAGAAAATCTACCTCCACCTTTGTGCAGCCTTCCGAGAAATATGGTGAACCAATGGCTTAGTGACTAGCACTTCTGTCCTGGAGCTTATTGGTTCAAATCCCAACCACAACACTACATGTATAGAGTTTGCATGTTCTCCCTGTGCTTCTGTGGTCTTCTCCATGCTTTAAATACACGTTGATAGGTTCATTGGCTCCTGTCTATAAATTGTTCCGTGCATGTCTGGTAAGGACCTTAGACTGTAAGCCCCTTGAGGGTAGGGAATGATTACAATATACACCGATCAGCAATACCCTTATGACAACTGACAGGTTATGTGAATAACACTGATTCTTTTTACAGCATCTTAACTTCAGTGGGATATATTAGGCAGCAAGCAAATATGTTGTCCATGAAGTTGATGTGATCACAGTTTGTTGTGTATGGGGATGCGTAACTGCAGATTGGCCAAGGTGCCTAATCTTACCCATGTCCACAGCCAAAAGTGACTACAGTAGGCTCGTGAGCAATAAAACTGGGCCACGGAGCAATAGAAGAAGGTGACCTGGTCTGATGATTCACGTTTTTTTTTTTTTACTGTGGATGGCTAGGTGCCACTTACCTGGGGAAGAGATGGCATTAGAATGCAGTATGGGAAGAAGGCAAGCAGGAGGAGGCAGTTTGATGCTTCTGGCAATGTTCTGCTGGGAAACCTTGGGTCCTGCCATACATGTGGATGTTACTTTGACTTGTACCACCTATCTAAACATTGTTGTTGACCAGGTACACTCCTTCATGGTAATGGTATTTCCTGATGGCACTGGCCTCTTTCAGCAGGAATATGAGCCCTACCACATGGCAAAATTGATTTGAGGAACACAACAATGAGTTTGAGGTGTTGATTTGGCCACAAAAGTCTGCAGATCTCAATCCATTAGTGCATCTGTGGAATGTGCTGAAAAAACAAGTCTAACCCATAGAGGCCCCACCTCTCAACTTAGAGTATTCTGCCAGTGACAGCTTGGTGCCAGATACCACAGAATACCTTCAGGGGTCTGGTGGAGTCCATGCCTCCATGAGTCAGGGTTTTTTTGGAAACAAAAGGGGGACCTACTCAATATTTAGTGGGTGGTCATATGTAAAGTGCTGTGCAAATTGTCTGCATAATATAAGGACCTGTAAAAAAAAAAGTAAGCATCAAATACGTTTTGTTTCTGGTATTGGGTACACAGAATGCCCCTTTTGTTTCCATGGTAGGTTCTGTGTGTGCAAAACTAAGCATCTCAGCACC